AGGCTCCTGGATCGATGTGATGAGTGAACTTCGACAACGAACAGTGCATCACAAAAGCACACAGACCATGCTCTGCCTGTACCAGGGATGAGAAGGAAGCTCTCGCTTACACCCCGAGGAAACCCACACCAAACCCAAACCCAAAAATTGGTCATGCTATTTCTTATTCTGAAGGCAGGCAACCTACCAGGCATCTAGGTCTGTCTTCTGAGAGAAAAGAAACCAAATCTCTTCGTATTAGAGGGGTGGAAGTGTCCCATGGGCATCTCTATCTTATGGTGCATTAAGTGTAGGAAGAAAGGTGGGAGAGGAACAGGAGGGAGACATTTCTCCTGGGCAGTATTCTGATTGCCTATATAAATGTAGTCCTTGTGACTGACAGTATGTATTTGAACTGAATGCAAGACGAGCCGATCAGCTCTACTGTATCATAGCCTGTGATGCTTCCACCAGCTCCAAGCCTCTTCAGTTTGCAGAACAAGAAGTGCTTAATGATATTTGCTCCTTACAAACGAGACAGTCTCAGGCCCAGTTCCTTTTGAATTGCAGTCCTCGGGGCTGTTGCCTTCTTACACTGCTGGGTTGGCTGGAGAGGCGTTCTGCAGGAGGACACAACCACAGGGAGGCTGTGCTGCTGAGTACAGCAGTGGGGCTGCTGACCTCTGCCTGCACTTCTGTTTTCCCGAAAGCCCAGAATGACTTGCCAGAAATAGAATCCAGCTCTGTGTGGTGGTGGTACCGATCTTTCTGCTCTCTGCATGTATTTTTGAGATGAATACATGTTAAAACTAACCCGGTAGCCATAAAAATCAGGAAAAACTGCCGTGCATGTAATAAAAATGTCAGACCCACTTGTTCTTATTTAAGAGGAAAGAGTCATTGTGTGTATTGGAGATGGGGCCTGTGGGAAAGGTTTTAGGAGATTCTCTACATTCTGTCTCAGTGCAGCACTGATGGCTACTTTGGAGCAGAGCTACTTAAAATAATAGTTTGATGGCTTCATTAAACTCTAAGTTTCCCCAGTGCAAAGTATAGTCCAGAGAGAGGTTTTTTTTAGTAAGCTCTTAAAAAGTCAACAGTCCATCCCTCCCTGATGTATACCCTTCACTGTGAAAACAAATGGTGCTGTAACTACTCCAAGTCCCATCCCTGTTCAAAGCATTTCTCTAATTAAAATAAATAAATAAAAAAAATAGGCTTTATTTGTCTAAGCTTTTGTGTTACCTGAATTAGAGAACTGTGGATTTGGTCCCAGTGTAATATGAATGCAATTGCAAAAATCAATGCATAAAACAGAGCCTAGAAGAGAATTATATTTAATGTGAGACAGAAAATCAAAACAGATTCCAAACAAATTAGAAATGAAGACTGCAACAGCTTGAGCTAAGTTTGCCTTATGGGGAAAGCTTATTAATGTGACTCAGGTGATTTTTTTTGCCAGAACTCCCTGTCAGTAGGGTTGGCCCATGTCACGTGTTGTTCTGTGACTCGATACAGAGGTGAGAGCAGCAGATCAACTGCGATATGATGACAATAAAAAGATAATTAAAGCTTCACTTTACAACTTGTTGGAACTTGAGAGATCTTAGAAGGTGCTGATACAAAGGCTGAGCAACTCAGCTGTAGTAATATCACAGACAACTGAAGCAGTGTAGTATTTAGTCTAGAGAAATATCCTGTATTTTCCTGATCTAATAAAGTTTATTGGATCCGTAATTTATTTTAGAAAAGGATCCAAATGCTTTGGATTTGTTTCACCTAATGCAATCTTAACCTTGCTGAAATGAAAGGGCTCTGTCTCGCCTGTCACATGGAGAAAGATCTCCCAAATACAAAGCTTTTGGAAGAGAGTGGTCACTTGTGGTTAGAACATTGGAGCTGTGGACACTACAATCTTGTCCACATGAGAATTCCACCCTGTTTCATATAGGTTCATTTAATTTAAATAGCACTGGAAGTTATAACTCTTCACTATCTAGGCTGTGAGCAGGAAGATGAGGTTTGATGAGACGTCACTGCTGTTTGCAACTGCCTGGTTGGAGAACATGGAGGAGGCTGAGCCAAGCTCTGCTCGGAGGGGCACGATGATGGGACAAGAGGCAATGGCTGCAAGCCACTCACCTTCCTGACCCTGTACCATTTCGGGGTGCTAGGATCAATTACTGTGGGGCACGTGCTCCGTTGTCTTTTCTCACTGGGGTTTCTTCTGCCTGAAGGAGTTGAAGGAGCTTGCACAAGGGGAGCTGGCTGTTTGCTGCTGCCTATCAATCTGTCAGAGGGGTGCTCTGGATACTTGATGCTGTGGCTCCATTTGGATGGATAGTTTAGAAGCCTTCAGTGCACTAAAAGACCACAGGCTCCTTTTTCCCTTCAGTTACTGCAGCATTCTTTAAGCATCCTCATTGTTTCATTCATCTTGAAAAAAAAAAGCTTAATGAGCCCCACTCATGATTTTCCAATGCCTGTCTGAAAGGATCATTTCCAAGAGGACATATTAATGGCACTGTTATCTCTTGATCACGTCAGTGTTAATGCATGTAAGTGCTGTTTCTGCCTCATTCTCACATAATTACAAGCCTATGTTTGGAAAATGAGGATATGTTTGCTATCTTGATTAAGAAGGTTCTAAGACATTTTTGCATACCTTGTAGGAAATAACTTACAAAAAGAGCTACGAGAGAAGCCCAGAAGTAGAGATTTTTGGCGTTGCCCTAACACTTCCATCTGCTGAGCAGAAAGCAGTTTGTGAATGCTAATGAAATCAGCTTTGTGTTACTCCAGTGAAGTAGCTGTGCATTATTCCCATGAGGAGGTGGAGGCACAGCATGACTAAGTGACTAGCTGGGATTCAGTACGTCTGCTAGGACTCTGCATATGCTTAGGTGTTGGCTCACAATACTGGACCCAAGGGCCAAACTGGGATGCAGTACAGTGGCTTGGGAATTTTTGTTTTTTCCCTAGAAACTACTATCATGTATCATGCTAAAGTCTTGTTCAAATTAAAACATCTCTACCTTTTATGGTTGAGAAATCTATTCAAAATGTGAACTGCATGCAATCAATACCTTATTCCTGCACCCTGCCTGAAATAACAAATATTGGAAAGAAATGGACTGCAGCCATTTCTACCATGATAAGCTTATTCAAAAGTTTGTCATGAAGACTGATGCCAGCAGGTTCACCTCCAGTCAAATGGCATGAGAAAGGAGCAGGGTAGGCACATTAATGCTCTGGAAGAGGTTGAACACATCACGTCTTTTCTCATCAGAGGGAATGGATGTTGGATCACATACATGCCCTCATTTCTTTCTGCTGATCTGTACTGGGATCACAAAGGAAGGAGCTGTTCCTTAGAAGTGATTAGTGATGTCCCATAGCTTGAATTCTGCTGGTGGAAGCCATCATTTTAACAGCTTTTTTTTTTTTCTCTCTGTTATGAGCCTTCTGGTGCTCCTTCATAGCTGCTGCATAGTCAGGATCATGTGTTTCAAACTAACTTCTATGACTGTAGCATTTAAACAGATTTGTATTAGTCTTTTCCACCCTGTTGCATACTCCTGATTATTCTCTACCTAAGTTGTTTGAGTAGCTTCTTATAGTTTTACTGTTATAACATAGTATTTTTATTATAACATTTGTCTGTTTGAGCTTTCTAAAGCTTTTCTGGAGGAGCCTGGAAAGCTGAAAAAGATTGGCTGTGGAGGGCCTGAGCTGTTGTTTTGTGTATAGATGCAGGCCAGTATTGAAACTGTCAGTAGATCTGCTTGGGCAGCTTTGCTGACGTGTAAGATGGGCTATGTGCAGGGGTTTGTTGGCTGTGTGCGTGTTCAGTTCAGGAAAGTTGTTGAGGTCCTCTGATGCTGCTGCTCTTTTGGATGCAGCAGTGCTGCATCTGCTTTAACGGTGCTGCATCTCAGCCAGCTTAAGGACTGGTACTCGTATGTGCTACCATGCAGAGAATGGCATAAACTAGAGCCTGTGCAAGGAGGCCAGCAAACAGCTTTAATTTAGTGGCTGGTAAGTACTGCTGATCCCCAGGATCCACGCAGGAGGTAATTCTCTAAACATGTGTGTCAGGGAGGTGATTGCTAAGCCCAGCTTGTTGGCAGCATTGCTGCATGTAGTAACGTGGGGCTGGAGCAGCAGGGAGGCACTTGTACCTCAGGTGTTTCTTGAGAGAGGCAAGTAGTTAAATGACAGCTGTAATGTAAAATTGGTTGTAGTGTGAGGAGTGAACGCATGCTTCAAAGAACCAGCATGCCAACAAGCAGCAAAAGGAGTCTGGCTCCTGTTCCTCAGTCTGCTGGTCTTCATGTGGTAGGTCAGATTCTGAAGCTCCAACTCACATGGATGCACACAAAAGCATTTGACAGAAACTGGGTCTTGTCAGTCTTCTCACTATTGTAACAAATCACCTTAGTAGGATTAGTGAAAATTGTTTTTTTAAATTACTTTATTTGTGGCAGAAGGGAGACAAAGGGCAGTGGCTGTCTTAACAGCTTCACCCTGCAGAATCAGCTAAGATAGAAAGTTACTGCAGCATGAAGATCAGAGCAAAGACCCTGACGGAGTGCAGCTGGCTCAAATCAGCCTTGATTAATCCATCATCTGTGACGGAAAATTGGTGCTGGGGAGTTGTCAGGATCACTGCACACAGGACAAGGCTGATGCTGGGCCTTTCTTGAGGGGCTGGTCTTTCACCCTCATTTGCACCAAACCCTAAATGAGTAATAGTTAAGGAATGAAGGGAGCAGTGGTGCCTAACAAAGACTTATTTCCCTCCTTTCTATTCTTGGGCTTAAATCCTCAAGAGGACAGATACATTGGGACTAACAAGTCCAAATTCAAAAATCCTTGCAAGTCTGTTAACCCCCTGTAGACAGGTGTATTTATTTTTTGTTATTGAAGTGCCACAGGTGCCTTAAGTTCTGCTGTTTGGGCTCAGAGATATATAAAGGACACCTGTGCTAGCTGTGTTAGTTTCCAGCTGAGGCTGCAGCATGGCTGGTCTTGCCTTGTGATGGGCCTGTCTGCTTCCCCATAGGTTTTTATTTCTGCCTTTTCTTTCTTTGTTTCTGGAGATCCTTGCCAGTCTTTGAGGTGAGTGTTCTGCCTGCCAAACTTTCTGCTTCTGGGAGTGGGGAGCAGCTGGCTATTGAGGTAGGAAAGAGTGAATGTGATGTTCTGATGCTGGAGTTTGGGCATAGAGAGAAGGAAGGAATGGGGAATTCTCCAGTAAAATACTGTTTTGGAGGCTGGTGGGGAAGGGCTGCAGTGCAGGTGTTCTTTGCTAGTATGCCTGTGTATTGTAGCAGAGATAGCCAGTGGAAAAGTACTGCTTAGCATGAAGTGAGAGGAAAGAAGTGTGTGCAAAACAGGGGTGTTCATTTGGAGAATCGTTTTTCTTCTTGGCTTAGGAAGCCTAGGAGACTTTTCAAGGTATGTGGGAAGGTCTCCATCTTTGTAGTCAAGAGAAAACGCACTTCAGAGGAGCCTGTGTTCTGTGTGTTTCCTAGTGACAGCCTTAAGAGGTTCCTGTTGTGTTCTTGGGCCTTACTATTAATGGCTGCTGGAGTGAGGTAACAGCAGGTAGTCGTGAATATCACAGATAACTCATAAACCACAGGGAGAGATCACCATAGGAGGGATTGCTGGTATTATTTTACTGCTGGGCTCCATACTAAGCAGTGACAACTGGTCTTAACGTGCCTCACTACAACTGAATTACGTTCCTGTAGGAGCTTCTGCAGGGCTCCTTGTTTGGTGAATGGACCTTTGTGGCTCAGGGGCTGCAGCATATGGCAAGATCTGTATGGCACAGAGGGACCCTGGGAGTGTAATTCAGATGCCATGTGCTCCTCTGTGGGGCTCAACAACTAAAACATAGGGAGCTGCAGAACTCTGCTGAGGTGTTTCGCTACTGTAGCTTTTGCTTCACAGTACTGAGGTGTATTCTGAATGAATGTAATGAGTGTAAAATGCTACTAGACAGCCATGCCCCCCTTTATTTTCCCTTGTAACAGCCTAAATTCTAGTGTTCTGAAAAATGTGGTGTTTTCTACCAAAAGGGAAGTTTATAGTACTTCTTACTAAAACTGCCTCCTTAAGGAGTAGTCCATCATATTGAATAAATTACCTAAGTGTTTTTCTAGTTCTTGCTTGCTTTAATAGAATCATTAATATCACAGTGACTTATAAAGCAAAATGCCAACTAACCAGAAAATGCTTTGCAGTTCCCTTGATGTTATTTTCCTGGGCTCTTCATATATATGATGTTGCTACATACTTCATAAGCCAAGAGCCTTGTGTGCTTACTTTGAAAGCAGGTATTGTGTTAATAAGCTGAAAGTCTCCTGTATGGGAGCTGCTGAGTCACGGCCTGAACCTCTGATTGAGGCGAGCCATGAGTCAGCCAGAGGAGCACAGGTGAAGGCAATTCCTAGACCTATTTAAGAGCTGGCTACCAGTGGGGAAGGATCTCTTCTGGAGATCGCCTCTATTGGTGTTTTGTGGTGAGCCCAGCTGAAGGGTAAGCCTCCCATTTTTTTCTCTTTTGTTATCATTGTTCACTTTGCCTAACTCTCTTGATTATATTGTAACATCTCGATATCCATTGATTATGCACCTCCTTAAAGCAAGGTTTTAAAACAGGTGGTTCCTGCTGAACCTGTAATAGCTGTTTGCTGTCAGGATCAACAACTTTCTGATCTCAGCAGAGTACTGGATGGCTGCAGAACTGCAATCAGAACTCAGCTGCAGATGTATCACCCTCTGCTTCTGCTCCATCCATGCTATCACAAATAGCTAGAGGAGGAAAGCATCTGCTGAACTAGAAAGTTCCTAAATGTGAACCATCAATAATTTAACCAATTATAATTTGTTTATTCCTTCCTTACTTGTTACACTATAGCTAAAATTAATGTTTTGGATTTTTTGGCTCTTTTCTAACACTATTACCAAAAGGAAAGATTCCTTATTCCTAAATTCCTGCAGATTCAGTGCATCTACAGGCAGCAACTTATTCCAGCGGAATGAACTAGCATAGGCAAAAGGGTGGAAGGCTGAAAATCAGTCTGCTTGCAAACTCCATGGCCAGACAGAGCATTCATGACACCATAATGCAGGGGGGAAAACACACTTTTAGTTAAATAATTGCTTGCTCTGGACATTGGTAGCTTTATTATTTTCAAGTTACAAAACAGCTGACCTAAGTCTTATACCTATTTTTGAGAAGAACTTGGCCTGCTTTGTGTAGGTCTTGAAAGTGGCTACTGAGCTCAACAGGTGTTGTCATAACAAATGCAGTCAAGGAGAGCCAGTGTGGGTTAGTTTCTCCCAGGGGCTCAGTTTTAAGCTTTTCTTATGCTTGCATATGCTCCAGGTCACCAGCTATGCTGACACCCTCGTGCTTGATTGAATCCAGCACACCTGGACTGAATGTGAGAAGCTGAGAACTAGAAATTCTGTGTTCACAAGTGACGGGGTGAATTTGCTCCTCTGCACTTGTGCTGATTCAGCCCAGTGTGTTTTGTCCTCCTTTGCTCATTGGGCGTGTTGCTGTTGACCCTGTCTGTTAGGATCCCCAGATCTGTGCACACCTGTGTTGCTGCCTGAGGTTATTTCATTCCAGATGCAAGATTCAGCATTTCCTGAACTTTGTGATGTTTGCCTTGATTCATGTCCTCAGCCTGCTGATACGTACCAGTGGGGTTCTCAGCAGGCACAGCACTGCTGCTCGCTGGAGGGTTGGGCATTCCCCTCAACTTGTTGTTTGCCAAGCTGCTGAGAATGTCATTCTAGATGTTAAAAGACATCAAGCAGCACTGACTCCATTACTGATCTCTGAGGCTTGTTACTAATGGTGCGTTGAACTTGGTGGAGTTGATGACAACGTTAGGGGTTTTTACTTAAACTAGTCATACTGTGCTGATAGGATTAGGGTAGAAGTAGTTGATGCCATGCATGTTTTACTGTGTTTTGAACAGTGTGCCTGGATGCATTTCCTCTTTTGGGTGAGGTTTTTTCTATCCCCTCTCCATTTCAAAAAAGAACATGTGCCACTTATGTTAGTTATGATTTGTGGCTTGTGTTTCCAAGCGCAGCCTCTGGAGCTCAGTTGTGCTGCGCTGAAAGGCTGTTCCTTGGGTTGCATGGCTTGTATTTCAGGAGCAGCACTTCTCACCCCAAGACACAGAAAACATGGGATGCTGCCAGGCTGTTGCTTTGCTATGTGCTCCACACCAGGGAATCAGGGTATGCTGGACAGCTATGAGGCAGGCAGTGTGCCCAGAATGTTAAGGGAATGTCCACTGTACCACTCACTGTTTTGACTCATTGCTTTGATTGTCTCCTTCCTGAGTTCAGCTGCTAATGATGGCCCCAGGGGCAGTGTAGGCTATAGAACACTGGCTTTGGGGATTGCTTGTATTAGCGATAATGGACTTTAATTACAAGTGAGCAGAGGTTGCTTAAATCCTATTAGTATGAACTGTGACTTTGAATACCAGATGCCCTTCTCCTGATAACAAGTAAAGGAAACAAGTTGATGTTGGGGAGTGGCAAGGGCAGGGTGCTCTGCAAGAGAAAGTGAGCTGGGAATCACAGGTGACCATGAGCCAGGAGGGTAATGACCACCCTCAGCTTACAGACGCCTGAAACAAGGGGAGAGGCCATGGCTAAGACCTTCCAGCTCATTGTTCCTGTGGCTGTTCCCAATAGCTGGATCCCCACTCATTGCTGTTAGGTCAGAGCTGACTTTAAGCAGCTGAACCCCGACAGTGAGATGTTACAGAGCACCTTGGTGTGCTTGGACCCTTACATTACAGCAGGAATCTCTTTAATTTGTACATCCAAGAAGTTGCAGGTGCTACTGAGGATTAACTATAAGGCTTTTTTTTTTTTTTAAATTTGCTTTCTAGTGTGAGCTGTGTTCCTATAGCTGATGAAGGGAATTAGGACCTGATGTTTAATGTCTTTTATCTAGAAACTTAATCAGCTGTGAGATTGACCATGCAAAACATAACAGGTAGTTAATGAAGATTCCTCAGGTAAGTATGAGATGCAAGGTGCATTTAGAACAGACAGGAGTGAAGGGAAGAATTGTGTATTTTGGTAATGGGCTTGATGGAAGGTGAATTAGGGAGCAGTTAAGTCAGCCTGAGTATGGTGTAATGTTGTGTTATGGAGTCTGACTTCCTGATTACTCCAGTGCAAGAGAAGAGGGAGTGTTTACAGATCAGGAGACTCAAATCCATTGTCTTGTCTCCCTGCCTGAGAGGAGGACCGTATTTCTTGCTTGTGATTGTGTCAGTTTTTATGGCATTCCATCTTCCTTACTGTTCAGGGTAAATCGCTCTCTAATGAATGAAGAAAGCCTTCCAGGACATAGTGACACAGGTAGCCTCCTTTGAACCCTTCTGGCTTTAAAAGCTGTCTAGTCTTCAGACAGCCATCACTTAACAAATGATGATTCATTTCATAAACACCTGTAATGTCCCCTGTGATCTTATACACTCTGCTGAGAAGAAAACAGTTGGCAAGGCAGCTCTTCTGGTTCTACTATTTTTCCACTGTTTTTGATACCATGAGGCTTCCAAATCCATGCAACCATAGTTTTAATAAGTATGTTGCACTGCAGGTGCTTTCATGGTCATACTTTCATAGAATCCTTAGTGTTGGAAGGGACCTTTAGAGGTCATCGAGTCCAATATTGCTGCAGTGAACAGGGTCACCCACAGATCAATCAGATGCTCAGAACCTGGTCCAGCCTGCTATTGAGTGTCTCCAAGTCCTTTTTGGCAGAGCTGTACTCCATCCTTATATTCAGTTTCAACTGGCTTCTCTTTGTTTTATGCAATTACTATGCACAAATTTAATGTGCTACTTTTTTGCTTTCCCAGGAAAATTTGTAAATGGAGTCTAATGTTAATCTCTGTAGAAGCACACAGTTTTCCTGTTCAAAAATACTGCTGCCCGGCATCATTCTGTTTATGATTTCCACTTGCTTAATAATCTGACAGTGCTTCTGTCTGAGCCAATCTCATTCAAACATCTTAATGACTTTTGTGAGGCATTGTCATGGATGCTTGACAAAAGTCTAG